TGATGATAGGCGGCTGGTGGGCATTGAAGCGGAGATGAGGGCAGAAAGGTGAAGCCCCTATGTATCATTGGCACGGTTCTTGTCTAATGACTGCAACCAGGACTACCAGAACTGCCATTGCTAATCAGACTGGTCATGTGATGTTTCACTTTGCTTAGCAATGGAAATTAGGGATGCTAAGCGAAGACCATCTATTTTATTTTTATTTTTATTGTGAATAATGTTCCTTATAGTAAAAAAGGGAATAACATGACGGATGCATCTGGATGTATATAACTGAAGTGTTACATATTTATTTGTTACTTACAACAGTCCATAAGAATAAAAAGAAAAACAGGTACCCTTCCCCCCCTCCACCTCCACCCCAATCACTAGACAGTCTTCCAACTCAATCCCAATCCTGGTCCAATGCTTGGGAGAAGACCCAGGTCATCCCACCCTCCAAAAGAGTAAAAGGGAATTCCTCGGATGTATTGTAAAGGGTTGGGACAGCCATCAGAAAGGGTCACATCAGAGGTTCCATCAGGTGGCAATATTTAAGGGAGGGAACCTGGATGCAGATCCGTCATCTAAACTACTACCATAGACGAGGAAGAGGAAGAGCTGCAAATAACATGGCCCTATTCTATGCATGAAATATAATGCTAGCACCATGAAAACTGATACAATAATATGGCATTTTTAGTAATACTTAGTTCAAACCCAACTTATTCAAAATTAAAATCCTACCACAGCTAATAATGCAAATTAGGGTTATTGTTAACAAAATAAGATTTATTGATGGATTTTTAACTAGATTATGGAGGTCTGGTAAGTGAATGAAACATAGAATAATCAATATGCAACCACACTTTATTGAGATGTATTTTTAAATGTTAATTTTTAATATATTCTGAAAACTTAATACCATTTTAGAGGATTTATATTACATTATTTCTCTCTAATGTGTGTGTAATTTATTAGTTCAAAATTTGTTCAGTTTTAATGCTACCAAATTCCAACCAACTCTGGGTTGCTCAAAAATAAAGAATATAAAAACAAGTAACTAAAGATACAACAATCCCTAAAAGGATTTACAAAATAGTTACAAACTATTCATAATCCATATAATACATTAATATAGGCAACTGCCTACCCCAAAGCTAAGGAGAACAGCTAGCATTTCCAGTCCTTTTGAAATACAGTAACAACGGGAATCATCCAAATCTCTGAACAACTTTCATGCCAAAGGGTAGGAGCTGATACCGAGAAGGAACAATTCCTGGGTCCCAGAATATGACATTGTTTAGTCAAGGGGACTTGGAGTGCATACACTCAGCCAGGCAAAAAACATGAATAGGCTGTTCCTTGAATAATGACCTAAATGCTGTGTAGGCTTTATGGGTGATAACCAGCACCATGAATTGTACCTGAAAACACTGGCAATATGTGTACATTATGAAGCCCATCATTGAACATGCCACTGTATTCTGGACAAGTTGAGGCTTCTAAGCAATCTCTAATGGCAGCCCCATGGAGACCAGAGCATTACAGCGGTCAAGCTGTGAGATAACAAGGCGACGGGTCGAGTGTCAAAAGTCAGAAAAGGACATACTGTAAGTGCACCAGATGGAGTTGTGCAAAGGTCTCCTTGGCCATAACTTCCACCTCTGAGTAGGAGCTAAGTCTAAGAAAACTCATGGGTTGTGCCCTGCTCTTGAATGGGAAAGTGCAAAATCCTCGAAATTAGGTGTCCAGGTAACCATAATGACTTCTTAATCATGGTGAGAGAGAGTCAAGAGTTGGTTCCTCCCCATCTAAGCCTGCCTTCAGGTATTTGAACATCCTTACTTGGCTGGCTTGATGTTGAAAGATACAATGGATTATGACTAGCTGATGATATCGGGTCCTGTACATGTTGAACAAGAGGAGAAAGAGGGTAGGGCCCTGTTGCACCTCGCAATGGTTTCCTAGGGAGGGGGGTTTCCTAGGGAGGGGGGTTTCCTAGGGAACAACTTTTCCATGTCAACATCAACTGGAACTGAAGGATTTTGAAGGATCACTATAATATAGCGCCCCTAATTCCTAGCTCTTGGAGTTGATCCAGAGGACCACTGTAGTTGACCGTATCAAAAAATCAAAAAACAGAAGATGGATGCACTCTCCCATCCTACCTCCACATCAGGTCATCATCAAGTATGACCAAAACTATCTCAATACTGAATCCTGGCCTAAAACATGACTAAAATGTGTTTAGATAATCCATTTCCCTCAAAGTCTTTTGTAATTGCAGGACAACCATCTTAACAAGGTTGGAGATAGGATATGATAGTTGTCTAAAACAGTTGGTTTCAACGATGAGAAGGAGACCCACCATCACCTCCCTCAAGGAGATTAGCATCACTGAATGGACCTAACTCCAGAAAACAAGTTGCTGAAGGAACTACACAGAACCTCAAAACCCCAACTCAGATACATCCTAGATCAGTGGTTCTCAACCTGGAGGTCAAACGACCCTTTCACAGGGGTCGCCTAAGACCATCGGAAAACACATATTTTCAATGGTTTTAGGAATAATTTTATGGTTGGGGGTCACCACAATGTGAGGAACTGTATTAAAGGGTCGCAGCATTAGGAAGGTTGAGAACCACTGTCCTAGATCATAGCTCAAGACTTTGCCCCTGGCACTTGGCCAGATATGCCCAGTTGGAATTCATTCAGTCTGGATCTGATATTCATTATTTGGCAAATAGTCAGATATTCCTCACAGCAGCCCTGCAGATGACCTAATAGCATGCCACTCCCTAGCAGTGATCATACCACCCTCAGAAGGGCTGCTGGACAACCTTTCATGGAAGCAATAAGAGCAAAGAAATACTGACATTTTGTTATCTTTATTGCCACAAGATCATCCCCATTATGTAATCTTGCCCATGTTCAGTCATAGATATGTGAATATAAATTGGCAGTGATGTCACTAATCACAAATAGATGGATTTTGCGTGTCATTTCAGTATGATATTAACAGAGTATTGTTGTTACATATCTGCTTGCAATCCTATTAGTATAGGACAGGGGTCTGCAACCTGTGGCTCTGGAGCCACATGTGGCTCTTTCATCCCTCTGCCACGGCTCCCTGTTGCTCAAAATATACGTCACAACCGACAATGTGCGACACCCAGCACGTGATTTATTGAGCTTTTCGACCCATCTTTTTTTGGGGGGGAGTTCAAAATGTTTTTGTTGCATGCAGAAATAAAAATGTGTTTTCTCTGTAGCAGGTCATTGATTTGTAACACACTATAGTTTTTTTATACAGAGCATAAAGTTAAAAAATGATACATGCAGTGTTATCTTCATTTTAGATGTCAAAAAGTTTTGTGGCTCCTGGTGTTTTGTTTTCTGTGGGAAACTGGTCCAAATGGCTGTTTAAGTGTTTAAGATTGCTGACCCCTGGTATAGGATTAAGTATAATAAGTATGCCATGGTAGTTATATATCACTGCCCCAAGTCATCAAAATGATGTTGTTGAATTGTTTTCCCAATGAGGTTGTGAGGATCAGAATGAGTAAGAACAAGCATGCCTCAAACCTGACAAGACTTGAATAGAATCTAGCAATTTTCAGTTCTTAATTCCAGATGGGATGCCACTCAGAGTTAGTGCAGAATCTGGAGATCCTCCTGGACTCATTGCTCCTGCTTGAGATAGCAGCCATGGCCAGGAGGATATTTGCAGAAATACATCTTGTATGTCAGTTGCATGTTGTCTGGAGGCACCACTCACAGTTACTCACACACTAATCACTTCCCAACTGGATTATAGCAATGCATCCTATATGGAGTTCCCTTAAAAGGGCATGCTGAAAACCAGCTGATTCCCAGTGCAGTGGCACATGCAGTGTGATGGGGACCTGCATCACACTAATGCAACATAATCTGCACTAGGCATCCAAGTGCAATTCAAAGTATTGGTTGTTACTCTTAAATCCCTACATTGCATGAAGTTAGGTTAATCTGGGACATCGCCAGTGGTTTTGCCCATTCCACTAGATCCAGCATAGTACCTCAGGTTCTTTTAGTGAAAGAGCATTGCCTGGTGGGGTCTAGGAAGTGTGCCTTCTCTGTTTATGTTTCCTGCCACCCTCCCACCCCAGATTCCTATAGCTCTAAATGCACTAGCTTTGCAAAAGGCTCTGAAGACCTGACTCTTCCCTTAAGTTTAACATCCATATCAGCAAATGTATAATTTTAACAGTATATATACTGTTTAAAGATATGTGTATGTGCCCATGCATGTGTGTGTGTGTTATGAGCAGTGAGTTGGATCCAGATGAATTAGGTCTCATTAAATTCAGTGTGACATTTTTTAAATCTTATGTTTTGAGGGAATTTAAGCTAAATTCTAGTCCAATCAATACTTGATTTGTTCTTCCAAACAAACCAAGATGTGATCTTGGTTTCTCAGTATAGCAGCAAATAGAACTTTTCATCTAATGTAAAATTTGCTGAGTTTCAAATTCCATTTTAAGGAATTTGTCAATGGAATCAAGGCAGATAATGCCATATTTTTTTATGAAATAAATTTCCATCTCTTGTTTGGTTGCAATCTCTTGCTAAATCCAGTTATTACCATCATTGATTAGGCAGCAGGGAAATATTTATAAAGAGCCTGATTGAGTTATCTGTTTTTTGGCAGAGGAATAAGAAAAAATAAGGCTGTTGATTTCACATTTATAAATATAGTACAGGAGAGCATGGAAACAAATCTTTATAACAGTGACAACAGTCAACTAAGTATTCGTTACCTTTGAAAAGGGACACTGGGGACTTAGGTGCATTAGTAAATAAATCCATCCCACTGGACTTTTTCCTTAGTTTATTCGGAAGAAAGATCGTTGAAGCCAGTTTTATTGTAAGCTGTATAGCCCTTCAGGAGATTATATAAGTGTATTTTACAAATATAGTAAAAGTTTTAAAAGCTCTAGCCCTGAAAATGCTAAGTGGTATCTTCCTGTTTCTAGGACTCTGAATTTAGTAATACTGACCAGATGGATCTATATGATGATGTGCTAGCTGCCAGCTCACAACCTTCTGAAAGTTGCACTAGCAGCTCTGAGCCACCAATTGAAAGCCGCCAAGAACAATCTCCTAAGTCAAACAGCAAATCGCCTGCTATTTTGTATACATACAGTGGACTGCGCAATAAAAGGGCTGCTGTTTATGTGGGCAGCTTTTCTTGGGTAAGTATTCTAAATTAGAAGAGGAAATAAATAGAAGTTGACTTTTTACAAAATACTCATAATTTCAAAGAAAAGGTGCATTATGTGCTTTTGTCATATGTTCACTTTGATTTGGTATAAACTATAACAGCCATAGAGGCACTAATTAATTGAAGCATTTCCTCTATGCTACAAAACATAATTTTCTTCTGGTACAGGTGGTTCTTTTTAACAATATATAGAGGTACACTGTTGGTGTATACCTGAGAAGAAAAATAGTTATTATTTCTGTTCGCATCCATGTGGACAAAGATTTGATGAAAAATTAATGTAGCTGGTTTAGAGGTTTTGCCTTTTAAACCAAGATTATTATTTTGAAGATACAGAAATCTGGATGATTATTAGATAGCAGCGGAAGAGTTGACTTTTGCAACTCAGATATGCTGTGTCCTCCCCATCCCTCCCCCCCAAAAAAGGAGAAAAATCCGTCTGTTGAAGTAAATATATATACTATAGTAAGAGGAAATTGTTGTTGTTAGTCTGACCAATCGCGACCCCATGGACAACATTCCTCCAGGCCTTCCTTTCCTCTACCATCCCCCAGAGTCCATTTAAGCCCACGCCGACTGCTTCAGTGACTCCATCCAGCCACCTCATTCTCTGTCATCCCCTTCGTCTTTTGCTCTCAATCTTTCCCAGCATTAGGTTCTTCTCCAGTGAGTCCTTCCTTCTCATTAGGTGGCCAAAGTATTTGAGTTTCATCTTCAGGATCTGGCCTTCTAAAGAGCAGTCAGGGTTGATCTCTAGGACTGACTGGTTCGATTGCCTTGCAGTCCAAGGGACTCCAAGGCACCATAGATGGTGCCTCAAGGGTCTTCTCCAGCACCATAGTTCAAAGGCCTCAATTCTTTGGGGCTTAGCCTTCCTTATGGTCCAGCTTTCACAGCCATACATTGCAACTGGGAAAACCATAGCCTTGACTATACGCGCTTTGGCAGGGTGATGTCTCTGCTTTTTAGTATGCTGTCTAGATTTGCCATAGCTTTCCTCCCCAGAAGCAAGCATCTTTTAATTTCTTGGCTGAAGTCGCCATCTGTGGTGATCTTGGAGCCCAGGAAAATAAAATCTGTCACTACCTGCATTTCTTCCCCATCTATTTGCCAGGAATTGAGAGGGCCAGATGCCATAATCTTAGTTTTCTTAATGTTGAGTTTCAAGCCATCTTTTGCACTCTCTGCCTTCACCTGCATCAAGAGGCTCTTTAGTTCCTCTTCACATTCTGCCATTAGAGTGGTATCATTTGCATATCTCAGCTTGTTGATATTTCTCCCGGCAATCTTAATTGTCACCTCCACTAGCTTTGTTGTTGTTCAGACTTCCTAAGGCCCATTTGACTTCATATTCTAGGATGTCTAACTCGAGGTCAGTAACCACCCCATCGTGGTTATCAGGGACATTAAGGTCATTCTTGTATAGTTCTTCTGTGTAATTTTGCCACCTCTTCTTAATCTCTTCTGCCTCTGTTAGGTCCCTGCCATTTTGGTCCTTTATCATGCCCATCTTTGCATGAAACGTTCCCTTCAAATCTCCAATTTTCTTGAAGAGATCTCTGGTCCTCCCTATTCTATTACTTTCTTCTGTTTCTTTGCACTGTTCATTTAAGAAGGCATTATTTTCTCTTCTAGCTATTCTCTGGAATTCTGCATTCAACTGGATGTATCTTTCTCTTTCTCCCTTGCCTTTCGCTTCCCTTCTTTCCTCAGCTATTTGTAAAGCTTCCTCAGACAGACATTTTGCTTTCTTGCATTTCTTTTTCTTTGGGATGGTTTTAGTTGCTACCTCTTGTACATTGTTGCAAATCTCCGTCCATGGTTCTTCAGGCACTCTGTCTATCAGATCTAATTCCTTAAATCTATTTGTCACCTCTACTATATATTCATCAGGGATATGATTTAATTCATACTGAGTGGCCTAGTGTTTTTTCCTACTTTCTTCAATTTAAGCCTAAATTTTGCAACAAGAAGCTCATGAGCTGAGCCACGGTCAGATCCTGGTCTTGTTTTTACTGACTGTATAGAGCTTCTCCATCTTTGGCTGCAGAGCACATGGTCAATCCGATTTCTGTGTTGACTGTCTGGTGATGTCCATGTGTAGAGTCTTGGGTTGTTAGAAAAGTGTTTGCTATGACCATTGTATTCTGTTGACAAAATTCTACCAGCCTATGCCCTGCTTCATTTTGTACTCCCCCCCCAAAAAAGAGGAAATAGTCTAGCCTAAAGAGTTCAACAAAAGAACATTGCAATATTGCATTGTTTTACTAATTAACAAATAGAAATCTTACAAAAGTTTAAGATAAAATACTGTGATTTTATGTCTCTTCATATACAGTGGACAACTGACCAGCAATTGACCAGAATAATCCGTTCTATAGGTGTTTATGATGTTGTGGAGCTGAAATTTGCTGAGAACAGAGCCAATGGCCAATCTAAAGGGTGAGCAATGCAGGCTTCTCTGTTAATGATTGAAATATGAAGGGTAATCATTAAGGAAGATACTACAGAGTAATATGGAGTACTTTATGATCCATCATATATATGAATATATGCACACAACATTCTGACTATTTGAATTTGGCTTTATTTTTGAACAAACTGAATATTTTGCAATATGCCTGCCTGACAAAAAATTTACTTTGGTAAAATTTACATTTGTTTTGAATGCTATTCTTGGGTCACACTTCAGACCAAAGATAAGACAGTTATAAAGGAAAGAATGAAATAAGAACTGATTAACTTAATTTGAAAATTGGTTTTGCTTGACTGCTTATAAATTTGGCTTCAGGGATATGCAAAATATTTCAGACTTGAAATGGATAGAAACAGTGCTTCAAACATAGAGCATTTTAAATTAATGAATTGTTCTCCTATTACATGTGTTATGTGTATCGCCTCTAAGAAACCTGTCTTTGCCTTCAACCTTCACCCTCCAGCTGTGCGTAGGATTCCTGAAGGAAAAGAAGAAAGAATTCATTTGCAGGAAAAGCAAACCTCTGAGATCAGGAGTGTGAAAGGAAGCTCAGACTGAAAAGGAATAGAAAGGGGAGATGCATGTCTGAAATTAGCTAAGAGAAAGAAAGCCCAAGTGAAAAAAAGAATCAGAAAACTAGACAAATTGCGTCAAGTTATTTAATCTAAAATATTTAACTCTTCTGGCACTAAAAAAAATGATGTGGGCAATGGAAAGAAATGAAGCTACTGTTAGGTGGAATTCTGCAGGGATGATGAGGCAAAACCCTTGGATGGAAGCTGCTCCCCCCCTTCCCCCATCCATTATAATTAAATATGAGGGAAGCTGGGAATTTACAATTGTACAAGAATGGCTGATTCTTCCCTTCCCTTCCCCTTGTTTAGATGGTACACCTTACAAGAGTTTCCTAATAGTCTTCTGATGATTTTTTTGTGGCTCTTTGAACAGATACGCAGAAGTGGTTGTTGCTTCTGAGAACTCAGTCCACAAACTTCTAGAGCTGCTACCAGGGATGATTCTAAATGGAGATAAAATAGAAGTCAAGTTGGCTACCCGGCAAAACCTTGCACAGTTTGAGGCACAAGCCCGAAAACGTAAGTTTAGCTGGATATATTATGCTAGCTGAATAGGTAGCAATGCAGAGGAGGCGGCATTGGTTAGTTTATTTGAAAATCTTGAGCAGAGCTCTGTAGACTAGAAGCAAATTAATTTGCGTTTGCAGAAATAGGAATACTTTTTAGGGAAGGGAGGTGACTTTGTTACATTTAAATATGATTAAAGTTCATCAAAATCTCTTGCTTACCACCCTCCAAATTGCATGGGCTTAACTCTGAAAATTGTTGTCATCTGGAATGCTCCATATCCATAAATAGATATACTGTTTTTATATTTTGTGGCTTTTTGTGATTTGTCCTAGACAATGGTCAGGTTTCAGTATTGGAATAATTTAAAATGCCTGTTTCCATTGAATCAGATGCCTGGATCTCTCTACAAAGTTTAAGCCCTGTGTGAGCATAACAGCAGAATCTATCCTTCTTATAATATAAGCGATCAGAAATTAGAACAAAATTGGATTTTATTTCTTTTATTTTATTTTGTCATAGTGATGTGACAAAAAGTATTTATTGGAAATTTATGCTGTATGAAACGAAAATCCTGTATTACTCATGTGCTTAATACTTTTCCTCATTTGTGATATCTTAACAGGGGTGCCTCCAATGGCTCACTCAAGGGATTCCTTAGACTCTCTTGATGGCCGAGCAACTCCAACAGAAAATGCTATCCCACCACCACGCATTGAGAAACCTCCCGTTTTACCTTTCTTCAACCGTCCTCCCTCTGCGCTTCCTCTGATGGGGCTGCCCCCTCCACCCATACCCCCCCCTCCACCACTTTCTTCAAGTTTTGGAGTTCCCCCTCCCCCTCCCGGTATCCATTACCAGCATCTCATGCCTCCCCCACCCCGACTTCCCCCCCACTTATCTGTGCCACCTCCAGGGTCAGTGCCACCTGCCCTGCACCTCAATCCAGCTTTCTTCCCACCCCCAAATGCAGCCATGGGGCCTCCACCAGATGCCTACAGCAAGGCTTCTGCACCATATAATCACAGCAGGTGAGAACGAGTCCAGTCTTAAGCACAAAGAAGGGTGTCTAGGTGTAATTCAAAAAGGGACTTTGTAAATTATTTGTTAAGATAAAAATGTGTTTTAGTTGGGCAATACAGAAATACCAGAAAATGCCTCCAAACACAGGGAAAGATTTCATCCCTTAAGAGTCTTGCAATTACTATAATATCTACTATGGTGGAAAATAAGAGAGAGATACATATTCAGCAACACACTTCCTTTTTTGGTGGGAGGCTCTTATGCATGGTAGGCAAAGTAGTTCTGCTGAGTGATGGGTGCATTCTTCTGTATTGCAGCAGGGAGTTGGGCCCATTACCTCCACCTGTTGGCGAAGCAGAATTTGATGATATCATGAACAGGAACCGAGCAATTTCCAGCAGTGCCATATCTAAGGCTGTATCTGGGGCCAGTGCAGGTAAGTGCAGTTGCTTAATGCTGTCTTTCTTTCCTAGCTCAGGCCTCAGTCTTAACATCTTGTTTATATTGTTATGCTTCAGGGGATTACAGTGATGCTATTGAGACCCTGCTTACAGCCATTGCTGTAATTAAACAGTCCCGTGTAGCAAATGATGAGCGGTGTCGAGTCCTTATCTCTTCACTTAAGGATTGCCTTCATGGCATTGAAGCCAAGTCTTACAGCATGGGCACTGGCAGCAGCAGCAGTTCCTCAAGGTGAGTTATAACAAGCAAACCTATTTGTGTTTTATCTGGCTGGATTTATTATATTCATGACTCAGTCCTATTTTTCTTTGGGATTTGTACATCCATATAAGCAATGTGTCCTTTTGTAAATAAAAAATAAAAAAAAAAAAACCAAACTGACAGCAAGTTTAACCTATTAATCACACTTGATATTTCTTTTTATTTTCCAGAAAAAGACATCGGTCACGTGATAGGTCGCCAAGTCGGTCACGTGAGAGCAGTAGGAGGCACCGAGAGGTGGTTCATAATGAAGATCGACATGAGGACTATTTCCAAGAAAGAAGCCGGGAGCACGAGAGGCACAGAGACAGGGACAGAGAAAGAGATCGGCATCATTGAGAGAAGTGAGAACACTTTTTAGATGGGGCAAAGGAGTGTTAATATGCCTGTCTGTTTTTATTATGTCTTCCTCCCTTAAAAAAAAGGAAAGCAATCTGTCTCTTCCCTCTAATTGGGTATCATAGTCCATATTGTTGTCATCAGAATCAGTGATAGGCATTAGGCAGGAAAAGCTATTTAAATTAAGACTTGAATCCTGGAGTTTTTTTTTTTCTTTTTTTTTTTTTTTCTTTTCTTTATTCATGGGCATTTAATTTTCAGTGCTTTGTAAAGTTCAGTTGTTTCAGACGTTTGGGTGTCTTGAAGGATTAGAAAATCGATAACTTTGTCAGTACTGTTCTTCCTGTTATTGTCAATTCCTCTTTATATGAAGCAGCTTCAAGAACAGATAGCCCTCTACTTATGACCATTTGTTCGGCAACCATCCAGAGTTATCACAGTGCTGAACAAAGGGAGTATGATTGGTCCCCAAAGTTACGAGTGTTGCAGCAGTCCTGCAGCCACATGATTGTGATCTGGGTGCTTGGCAATCCATCTACAAGTGTGTCACAATCAGGTGATCACCATTTGCAGTTTTCCTTGCCGGCTTCCCCAGCAGGTTTATGGGGAAGCTGGCAGGGAGGGTCGCAAGCTGCTGTCACCTGCTGACAGGACTTCCTCTTGCCTCTGGAGGCTGGCTGAAAAACCTCTGTGCTGAGGCAGGGTTTTGGCATGAGGCGTTTTCAGACAGCTCCAGAGTCGTATCTCTGAGCGTTGGCTGAAAAAGCTTCATGGTGAAGTTTTCCTGGTCTGATAGTTCACCTCTTAGGGGATTGAAGGAGAGTCTAACCCTTTCAATGGTATAGTGCAGGATCAGTAATTCAGCAGAGTTGCCCACTTCCAAATAGAGTGGGAGCAAGCGGGATCCTCCTCATTATGCTTGTTAATTCCCCCAGGGGAGTCACAACCCATAATTTGAGAATTCCCACCTTGAGCTTGCAGGGATGTAAGGAACCATAGCATCACTTAAAAATAATAGCACCTTCTCCAAAATTAGGCTGGTTTTTCCTGTTTTGTTTTTTTTTCAGGGAAAATGACCACATTGCTGGCCATGCCCCCTGTGACCCCAAGGCAAGGCAGGAAAGCGAACTGTGGCCCCTGGGCCCAAAAGGATTATCCAGCACTGCTGTAGATAATCAGACCAGAGCTTCTAATTTAACTACTTAAACAAGAAGGAAATCCTGAAGTACATTTGTGCAGAATCTGCTTTGTTCTTTCCTGGGTGAAGTATATGCCTAAATTCATATCTTATTTCAGAAGGGGAAATATCAGTAAAATATTTTTTTCTAAAAAAAATAAATAAATCTCAAATTTAACTGTTTATTCTACTGTAATCTGCTCTGGGTTAAAGGGAATTGGACACTTCAAAAAGAAAAACTAAACTACAAACTTGATTTCTACCTGTTTCTGAATAGTTGCATAAGACCTGAAGTGGTGGTCTTCTTTTGGTAGGTACCATTCTGTGATGGGAAGAAAGTAGTTGGATTATGCTTAGTCTATATCAAGGGTGTCCACACCCCTGCCCAGTTTAGCGAAGGAAAAAAAAGTCCTGATACATCACGTGACGATGCGAGTTTGACACCCCTGGTCTATATAATTCAGTGGCAGAATAAATCTGGCTTCAAATCCTAGTCCAGGTCAACTATGGTCTAAAACAACCCACAATTTTCAATTCCCTTTGTATATAGGAATTCACTCTTGGAATTGCACTTTTCTAAACTATGCTCTCAAAAATGCCTTTAAAATTGACTAATATTTTATGTTTCTTTTTTTTTCTTTTTGCAGGGATGCTAGAAGCATACAGTGTTTTTATGGACTTATATCCTGTCCTTAATCAAGACTAAAGGATGGGGGATTCTCCACCCACTCCTTCCCGCTGCCCTCTGCTCTTTCCAGACCCCTTGGAAGTGACTTTGCCTGTAGGACTCCATTTGGCACACTATGGCACTAAGACTTGAGTTCTTCCTAAGTGTGCTGCTGCTGCTGTTGCTTGATGGAGGAACACTGAATGACTTGGAGTTTGGGAGGGGTTGTCTGAGCCACTGTGACCAGGGGGCAATTTCAATCCATGGATTCTTGGACCCAAAGAGAATGGTGCTTTCCACAGAGGTCTGTCACCTCTTTCCTTTCCATGGCGTTATAGAAACACCCGGGGAGGAACACATCCAACTTCTCTCCTGTAGGAAGACCTCATGCTTCAGCACAGCACAAGGTATATTACCATAGCCTCACTGGAGCTTATGTTCAAAATTCAAACTGCATTGTCTTCTTAGGCATCAGTGCATAGAGTCCTCCTTAATTTTTGATCCTTTTTCCAAAGCAGCTTCAGTCTTGCACTCTAACAGCTTTGTACACAGCTTAGAAAAGTTTTGTTTTCCTTTTCTGGGATGAGAACAGGCTACTTGCTGCTTCCAGTCATGCCTCTTCTTAATTCCTGAAAGTTGTCATACCAGTTTAACCTAACTTCTTTTAGGAGGGGCTGTGCTGTTAAGCTTGCCCACAAAATTGAGTCTCCCTTAAAAAAATAAATCTACCTTTCACTATTGCAAGAGCTCTATTCACAGGTGATTCTCTGACAAATTCCTTGCTTTGTTTCATGCATTAGCTGCTCTGATTGTAATTTCTTACACAAACATTTGTTTTCAAGGCCATTCTTTCCCAGCATATCACCTTCCTTGTTGTAGAGGAAGAGTTGTGACTAGATACAGAAACATGGAATTGGGACAAAGTCAAGCTGAGGCTTCTGGACATTATTGATTAGAGCACACCTTGAGCATTTTAAATTTTGTGTGATGTAAGTGTTGAATTAAGGTCCAAAACTACCCTTGCTCCCATTCTCATTTGGAATTTTCCCTTTGGTGGGAATCACTCATGACATAATAAAACCTTAGTGGTCTCTGGCATGCCAGCCTAGGAAAAGACAAAGTTAAATTTTTATTATGTAAACTTAGAACGAGGATTCCTGGATCCAATGAGCCTTTTGGCTGGCAACCAATTGAAACCAGAAACACATTACATGGGGATCCTTATGGAAAAACAGTGGCTGCAGAAATCTTGATTCAAGTGTCATCTTCGTGATGGAACTTTTTGAGGTGTGCATTTTAGTTTTCAGTGCTCCATCCTGGCACCCCAGTTACACAAAATCAAGTTACATACCCTGGATTTCTTTAGTAAGACCAAGCATCTATTACATTGTGACTATCCAACTGCATGGCGAAGCCCTCCTCATAGAAAGATCTGTCTTTTTCTCAGAGAACAATTGGATAGATTAAAGAGGATGACTGTATCACCAAGGGATATGATGCCTCCTTTTGTGCTGTTGATCCAAGAGGGTCTAAGATCAATGTTTTTTAAAAGAGAAAACAAAAAGTTAATGTAAGCCAGCGGAGAGCGCTTAAACTGTAAAGTATACAATATGGATTGGAAAAGTTGCTTTTTACCTAATGGGACATTTTTATTTTGTTTTGAAATAATGGAAGAAAAAGAAGAAGAAAAACAGACAACAGAAAACATAACTTCAGTTCCCTTCTACTCTCCCACTCCTGTTCTTCGTGATTTGATTTGTTTGTCTTTTTCTGATAGGTTGGAAATTGTGTAATAAACTTGATGATATTGTCAATCTTTTATACTGCATTGTATTGTTTCTTTTCCTTTTGTAAGTTTTAAAAGGGAGGGTGAGTTGTTTTTTAGAAATCTCCATTAAAAAAAAAGATTGTAAGGGGAGGGATTGGGCTAAATGTGACTTAGATACGTCAGTGAAGATGTATAAATAAGGCAGGTGCCATGTTCTAGCTGGGTGCTAACCCTTGTACAACCATGGCTTTATGTAATGCTAAATTAGTTCAAAAACCACTTTGTGTACAAAAATTAAAATGCCTTTTTAAAAGATAAAACTTCTATCTCATCATTATATTTAACTAATCATACTTCAGACTGACAAAATCCCTGAGAGTATTGGCTTCTGGTTAAACGTAATAATTTCCAGTATGGGAGGGGGGAAGGTGTTTTTACCTGGACTTAGTTTTTGGTCATGAATTTTTTTTGTACCTAATTACCTTAGACATAGGAAAACATGCTGGAGCGAGGGATGTATCTACACTCCTATATTTTATTCACATTATTGGGGGATCACTATAAACTGGGCATAAGACATATTTTGCCATACCACATAAAAGTTTGCACTTCACTACCTCTGTATAAAGAGTGATTCTATCTTCTCACAGACCCCTGTCAGTAATTTCTAATCAAATTGGGCAACTGGTTGTCCAGAGAACAAGCTTTGCCAAAGGGTAGAACGCCTTACAAGAAGGCTTTAAACCAAAGCAAATGTCTAAAAGAAAATTTGTCTTACTGTATGTGAACAGTGTTCCATTAAGCCTCTGGTTTGCCATAAAAGGTGCCGACTGCAAGTAATAAGTGATGAGGCTTGAATGATGTCATGCTTTCAGAACATGGTAGCTTGAGTAATGGACTTCAGTGGGTGGGGCTTAGTTCTAAGAGGTTGGGTTTACCTAGTTGCTAGGCATCCATTATGATCTTGTGCATCAGACACAGTCTCAAGTAGGCCAAGCAGTTAGCTGGCCTGAAGAATTGGTGCCATTTGAGCCTTTCCACCATGACGTACTCCCTGGAGTTCGGACTTGTCAATGCTGCAAACAGATACCTGACTGCCGAACCTTTCCGTTTCCAGGTGGCAGCCACAGGCAAGCAACTAAAGCCTCGCCAGGTGTGGGTGCTGCAATTTGTGACCCCACATGGAGCTGGAGCAGCTGGCCCAGGAGAAGGGGCTGCCCAAAAAGTTCACCTTATCAGTGCCCTGAAACGCTACTTAGCAGCTGACCCAAACGGCAAAGTCACCTGTGACCAGGATAAACCGGGGCCTCAGACGTTCTTCCTGCTGCATCAGTATCCAGATGGCAAGGTGCAGTCATTCAGGGCCAAACACGCCTATTGATTATATATCCCAAGCCACAGAATTACAGCCTAGTTATGAGTGGATTTGGTGGGACTGGATTGAGATAAAAGTGTGGGAAGGAAAGGATAGGGAGAAAGAAAAAGAAAATTGGAGTTGTTTGCTGTGAAAAAAAAATCATTTGGTGTTCGCCCATATGTGGTGATCTTATGGTTGCAACGCATTGGTCTCTATAAGTGGCAGAAGTTACATGTGTGCAGTGCTTGGAAACTACTTGATTCTCAGTTTGTACCTAGACCAAAATAAATTAAGTTGGTAGCTTTCAATGTCCTACTGTATCCTGATACAGTACACTTCCCTCCAATAATCCTTAATAAAACAGCTAGTGGACCAAATACATATTTTGTTCTTACTATCTAAAATATGCTGGTCAACTATAGTGTATTGGTAGAAAAAGAATCTGGATCTTTACAGTAGAAGGGTCTGGATCAGGATGTGCCATAGGATGTATAGTTGCTGAAGGGCAAGTTTAATTCCCTAACCCATGGTATGCGATACTGCACTGACATTTAGAGAGGTCAATTCTAGCTGACATCCAGCTGGAGAGCCTTTCTAGCTTTTCATTCTTAGTGTGAGTGTTTCATTCATCACCTCCTTCGTCTGATGTGGTTGACTTGGTAATGTTTCTTTCCTGGCAGGTGTCTCTGCAAAATGAGCAGTCCAAGCGTTACCTGGGTGGGGCAGAAGACAATGTTACATGCTTTGCCCAGGCTTCCAGTGAAACAGAAAAGTGGACTCTGCACCTGGCAGTGCACCCCAATGTTGCAATCTATAACCCCAACAGGAAGCGTTATGTACGTTGTGATGAGAAGGCTGAGGTATTGCGCTGTGATCGTGATGTGCCTTGGGGGGCGGAATCAGTCATCAGTATCTACTATGATTTCAAAGGTGGGGGAAAGTGATTTTAGATGTAATTATTATGCATAAGGAATTTTGGAAGTCCAGAGTCTTCTTTATATCTCTTCTTTAAGGTGGCTCACTATCTGGTGGGATACATAGATAGGATTGGTCTATGAATAACTTTGCTTCATTTCCAGTATAGGCAGCTATCCTAGCGCTTGAAACTGTCGCAAAAAGCAGGATGCAACTTTGAATTCTGAGATAAAACACACTGAATACTTCTTAATAGGGTTTGGTGTAAAATGAAATAAATCTTACAATATCAAACATAAAGGCTACATGCATAAACCTAAATTAAGCCATGTTTAAGGTAGAATCCTTAATACATTTGCTGAGTTGAAGAGTTGCCTGAATAAACAAAAATAAGATTATACAATAGGTATAATTTGGAAAAAAATGAGCTGAATTGGGGCCAATTCATGACTAACTTTCCAACGGTTTCCAAAAAACTGATAAAAATAAACACTGAGGACATGAAGTTGAGTGTTAAATAAATACGTATTTTCAACATTTTTGTATTAGGCCACATTCTAACAAATTACAGAAAAATAATAGTTTGCTCATTACTTAAAGATTTCTTCCATATTAACATTCTTCTGTGATGTGGTTGTTGATGACATGCAATCCAACATTTCTCTCCTGTCTAGAATATTACCAATATAATTTTGAAAACTTTTCAGAATCAAGTTTACTTTAAAAAGCTGCGCTGTTGTTGTACACAGGAATAATCATGTACATCTTAGAAGCAATCATCAACTTATTTAAAATGTAGGGCCATTTCTTCACCTTACTCTTTTCCCTTATGATTCTTTATATTTTCTTCCTGGTGCTTCAAGATCTTATCCCGTTTTATCAAGCAACCCTTTAATTTCTCTACAAGTAGATAATGGGTAATTTTGAAAAACAGAATTAAGGAGCAAAATACCACCTGGATGCTAATAGAAATAAATCATGGCCTAATCTCTTCCCTTTTTTAAATATGTAAATTTTAATCTGTTTTTAAATTATCGGGGTGTTTTAATCTGTCTGGGCCAAAATGATTTAATTTGATTTTATCTGATTTTTAAATTTTTTGTATCTATGTATTTTATTGTTTGGCCGTTCACCGCCCTGAGTCCTTCAGGAGTAGGGCGGTATACAAATCAAATAAACTAAACTAAACTAACTAAACTAATGACCATGAATGAAAAAATCTTCAGAAACAGACAGATTGCATCATAGTATACTACAGAAGGAACTACAGAGAGAAAAGAGGATCCAAGAAACTACAGACCAGTCAGTCTGGTATTGATTATTGGGAAAGTTCTAGAGTAGATTACTTTAAAAATCTATAAATGAATATTTGTTTTGTAGAATTTGTAAACATTTTGAAAATAATGCGGTTATTATTGCATATCAGGAGGGACTTGTGGTCAGATTAATTTTATCAGTTTTTATATGGTATTTCATTAGCAGATTGTGGGAATACCATGATTATAATATATGTTGATTTCAGCAAAGCAACTGAGGAGAAAATACCCTATATTCTGATTAACAAACTGTTTTAAGTATGTGTGTAGTTGACTCAAAAACTACATTTATATGCATTTGCAATAGTGGCAAATATCTGTAGCTCTAGCTGTAGGATGAGGGTGAAGGTTCATTCTCTGAGCTTGTAGGTTGGTTTCCGAACATTTCATTACCAGGCTAGGTAAGATCTTCTGCAGAGATTCCCCTAAACTCCACTGAAGATGTTACCTAGCCTGGTAAAGAAATGTTCAGAAACCAACCCACAAGCTCGGAGAACGAACCTTCACCCTCATTTATATACATCTATAAAATGTTTATCATACAATCTTCACTGTTAATGAATAGTTGAACAAATGTGTTTGTTTGTTTGTTTATGTATTTATGTATTTATTGGATTTAGAGGTTGCCCAACTTTCAAAATCTCTGGGTGGCTTACATGTCAAAAGTAGGAAACAACAGAATAAAATGAAAAAGACAGGTTCATTGGGAACAGGAAACTTAACGCACCAATAGAAAACTAGAGAGGACCAAGAGTTACCGTAACTGCAGCCGTGGGAGCAAAGCCAAGTTCCACAAGCAAGGCCAGTGGAACAGCTGCAGCTTAGGAGCCTTATGAATCTCCAGGGGATGCAATTCCAGAGGGCAGGTGCCACAATAACAAAGACACACTTTCTAGGTTCCAGTAGGTGTTGTTGTTTAATTGAACGGACTTGGAATGTGCCCACTCTGCCCAGTCTCAGTAGGTGGACAGAAGCTATTGGAGATAGATGTCCCTCAAATAACCAGCCGCTGTGCTTATCAGATTTGCAACTGAAACAAACCTATGTGAGATAACCAATAGCCTAAAAAGGAAAATTAAAAAATAATACTGGTAGGCTAGGGAGGGACTAAATCTGCATGAAATTGAACAGAAACAAATTACAATTTCAAAAACAACAACCAAATGAATAGATATAGAGTAGGTAATATCTGCTTTGATAATCTTCCATAGGAGAAAGAATCTTGTAATTATCTGCTGATATGGCTGTCAGAAAGGCAAAATAATTTAGGATGCATCAGTAGAAATATTATTTGCAAATCATGTAAAGTAATAGTTCCATTGGATTCTGTACCTCAAACTTCATTTGAAGTACTATATCCAGTTGTAGACCCATATTTTAAGAAGTATTCAGATGGCCAGGCTTATAATAACATATCAGCACGAGCAGCAACCTGGTAGACTGGATCCTATTTTTAGAAGAATTCTTTATTGGCCAAGTGTAATTGGATACACAAGAAATTTGTCTTTGGTGTATATGCTCTCAGTGTACATAAGAAGAATAAAATACATTAATCAAGAATAAAAAAATACAACACTTAGTGATAGTCAAGGTTACTAATAAGCTATCAAGTCGTACTAGGAAACAAATAAAAACAATACACATTGAAAGATACAGATGACATGGTTATAGTAATAAGTGGGAAGAGATAGATACTAGTAAGGAAGAGAAGAATAATAGTAATATAGTCTTAGTAAATTATTTGACAGTGTTGTGGGAATTAGTTATTAAGCAGAGTGATGGCATTTGGGAAAAAACTGTCCTTGTGTCTAGTTGTTCTGGTGTGCAGTGCCCTATAGCCTCCCTGGCCCATCCATCAGTCTGACCTCAAAGTGGCCAATCATCTGCATAGGAAAGCCCACTAATCTCCCATTAGTTGGGCTTCTGAGGCAACCACAGTGCCTTCAAGGCTAATTGATCCCCACAACTTCTATGAACTGGTCCAATCTCCGAGGCAGCATAACGTCTCATGGCAACAAATTCCAAAAGTTTAATTACCTGTTGCATTAAAAAATAGTTTTATTGATCTTACTTCTTCCAAGATTGAATTTCATTGGATGACTTCTGGACTGGTATTTTCAAAAAGGTAAAATAGCTTCTCCTTGCCCACTTTATCCATACCATGTATCATTCTGTGCAGCTCTATTATGTTCCCTCTCATTCACCTCCTTTCTAGACTAGAAACTAGAAGTAGAGACTAAGCTCTGTTAGGAAGAAATCTGGATATGTTTGTCTTGGAGAAAAGAAAATTAAGAGGGGAAATTATATTATATTTCAATCATATCAAGGGAGCATCATAATGAAGAAGGGTAAGAGATAGAATGATGATCGTGCTTGAA